CCCCAAAACCCCAAAACCCCAAAACCCCAAAACCCCATAGTAGCTGAATTATATTGAAAATTGACATTTATTAATAAATTTAGGAACATGAAGTCAGCTTTTAAGAATGGAGATGTATGGGATGATGAACCCTTGGGGGTTGAGGGTGATGAAGGGAGATCTCAAGTCCCGAAAGTGACAAAGGAGTTTAAGAATACTTTGATTGGGAATAAGGGGAAGTTGTCAGGGAAGGATTTAAGAGAGATCTTGGATGTTGGGAAAAAGGACAGAGAGGGAGGTTGATCAGGAGAGAAGAGATCTTTGAAATCAGGTTGTGCAAATTCTCAGTTCAAGTTTAGACATTTTGGGAATTGTAAGCCAAAGTCTCAGAAGTATGCTGCCGGCATTAAATCAGGGTTTTCTTCTCTATCTCTAGCAAAGAAGCATACTAGTGATCTAAGAAGAGTTCCTTCATGTGATATCCTGAAAAGCCTGAGGTCATAGGAAATCCTCAGTTTAATTGGAGCATAATCCAAACTAACTGTCTTAATTCTTCACTAAAAATTCTAATTTAAATTTACTGTCTCATGGATAAGAATTTTTAATAAATAACTTAATGGAACATTTCGGTGTAAACTGAAGGAATAAAGGCTTCCAAAGAACTAATCAAGCCTTTGAGATAAGTTACAGAATCTCAGTATCCGGATTAGGGATACCGCAGGCTTGGGAGCAGCCGGAGACCTGATTGCATTTTATTATAAACAAGTTATTCCCCATAACTTCTGGTAAGTTACTCACAAAATTAATAATTCTGGGAAATAGGATAAGATATTATTATGCTAAGAGAGTGTTTGGTCCGCTGGATATTAACTTTCACTACAACATATTACCCATATGCTTGCTTATAATCTTCTTGCATCTACTCTCAGGCCCAGAGTTCTCAAATTTATATGCATGAGGTACTTTCCTACTGCTTAATCTTACTTTTGAAATATTAATAAGAGGACGAGAATGGATTTCAACTCTTAAATTACTGGTTGCCATAGACCTTCTTACACCATGAGTGAGCTTCTTTCAAAATCATGAGATGCAAGTTAACTTGCATCTCATGATTTATATAAATATGAAATTCACTGATAACATGTCACTAATAGACGATATATACATAAATTGGAGCTAAAGCTCTTGCTTACTTTGCCCTAACTTTTAAAATCTACTTTTTCTGGCTGTAACATTAGAAGAAGGCTATGTGCACTCAAGCATCTAAAGTGCTTCTGAATAATTGAGTTTTGTGGCCTAATTATTTTACAGCGATGATAATTCTCCAAACAGAGCAAAATGAACTCTAAAGCTCATTATTAATTAATAGACTTTTGAGATGCTTCTCAAATAATCTAGCATGCGTATGTGATAATATGAAGCTCAATATTTAACTTCTAGGATACAAGTAATCTCGGGCTGGCGATCCTTCACATTCATTTCCAAAGCTAGTATACCTTTTTATGCCTCCTTGATGACTTCTTAAAAACTGCAAACTCCTTTATCAGGGATAAAAGTAAATTATTTTAGGCCAGAACTCCATATTTGTCTGAAGATCTTCTGATTGGAGATTTTGTACTGACTGGTAGAGGATGGATTAGCTGAAAAGGCAGGAGATGCCTAACAGACAGCTCTGTCTAGTTTTCAAGATGTTCTCTTCACTGTAAGAAAGATCTTTAGCATAATCAAATATCCAATATTTCCTAAAATCACCAAATCCTGTATGGTTTTACAACTTGCCAATTTTAGAAGTGCTGAAAATTTGAATAAATAATAAGGCGCTTCACCAAAAATTGTATCCAAGCAGGTTATCGGCCACGGAAGAGTGCTGAACTATAGCCATATATATAACCCTCCTATGTGCTTACTAATAGAGTATGAAAAATGCTAATTTTTCATTTTTAGACAAAAATCTAGAAATCAAATTATTTTGGCGTTACAGCTCAAGATATGAGCTATCCAATTTACGCCCTACTATTCGGGTCTAAACCTTCAAATTTCTCTGAAGGCCATGGACAGTCAGCACTAGCAATTAGTTTTATGAGTTTAAAGGGATCCTCATCTCTTTTAATGTGATATACGCATCTGATCCATGTAGCAACCAAAGTTCTTCCTGAGGAGTTATTTCAGAAGTCAGTATAACGTTGCGAATAAAATTGATCAAAATTTCAAGTTCAGCTATGAAATCCTATCTAGAGCCAAACGATCCCTTCTTTTTAGAATAAGATAATGCAGGCTTCAAGGTCTGAGCACATGCTTGAATGAGCCTGTAGAATTACAGGATTGTTCAGTCTGATGAAGTGAGCTGTACAGGATTATTAGTTATTAGTAGCTTCTACTTTATCATAAAACTGGCATTGAAAAATTATTTTTCAATGAGAAAGATCATGCTGATCTTGTGCATGGTCTAAAACTCACTTTAAGCCCAGTATAATGATAAAGTTAGACATAAATGTCTCTACAAACTCAGAGGGAAGTGAACCTTATCGACTTGGCTTTTATAGTATAAAATATAGCTCCGAACTTTTCTAAAGTATTTTTTCTAGGTGAAATGAGAGATTTTTACAGAGATATTACTCAATGTCGAATTTTAAATGGCTATACTAAAGAAACATAAGATCTAATATTTCAAATTTTATCTTGATGGTATACCTATATACACTCTGTGTTTCTATAGTTTACAGCAATGCTAATGTGTATCCATATTGATCATAAGAAAGTTTTAGCTTAATAAAATTTAAGGAACACTTTTGAGGTGGAGAAAATAGAAGATTTTGTCCTTGGAGTATTGCTGACTGGGATACTTAGAAGAACCATGGAAAAGAAATCTTCCTCAGTAAAAATGAAGAGGTTTGAAATAAAAATCTGAGATTCAAAAGCAATGGAACTTCAATAGCCCTATAATACTTTCTAAAGCCTCAAAACACCTTAACCTCATACCATAAGTACCTATATTCCACCCCAACTATCCAAATTCCCACTAAAAATCCTTCCTATCCCCTAAATTCCCCCAAAACACACATTTCCCAACCCCAAAACCCCCTCTAACCCCCAATTCCTCCTCCCTCTACCCTCAACCCAGCCCAATCCTTGCCCTCCAATTCCCTTTCAACTCCTCAATCTCTTCCTGGGGTTTTGGGGTTTTGGGGTTTTGGGG